TGGCATCCTGAAATCTTCTAGAAGGTTTTACTCCAGGGCAAGACCAAATTTCCAAATGACAGAGTCTCTAGCTGAAGAGGCAATGTGGTAATGAAGGAAAAATCTGGACTCTGGAGTCAGGGAGCATGCAATTCAAAGCTAAGTGCTACCATTTACTAGACGTGTGGTTGTGGGCACATCGCTCTAATTTTCTCAGATTTATTTTCTTTGTGCATGTATAATGCAAAGCATGAGATGGCATTCCAAATGTTGAAAATATTAAGTTGGATCATATAAAATAGATCAGATAGAAGTTAGATGTCATTTTTTTCCCTAACAGAAATTTTAAAAAGAAAAAGCTAACACCTAGTGCTGACCAAAGTGTAGGAGACAGACTTTTTTCCTGTGCTACTGGTTTGCTACATGTAACACAGGGAAAATATTAGTATCTCTCTCATGGTGCTGTTATGGGAATTAATAAATTAGTATATCTAAAATTATTGGAACTCTCCAAAGCACATTATAGGGCTGGCAAGTGTCAGCTATTATGAGTACTTTTATTACTGATGAGAAAGTGATTTGGTGCAACCTTTCTTGAGGACTGGTTGGCTGCATGTTTCAAATCCTTAAACACAGGCATAAACTGACCCTATAATTCCTCTTTAATTATTTATCCAGAAATAAAGTAACATGTGGGCAAAGACCTGGATACAAAATGTTCCTTGCAGTGCTGTTAGAATAGTGAAAAGTTAGAAATGTGCAAAATGTTGAACATTAGCTGACTGGTTGAAAGAAATTCCTATTGCTATAGGATGTAATAGTATGCAGTACTGAAATATAGCCTTGCCAAAGTATGTATTTTTTACTATGAAAATATATTTACAACCTACCATTGAGTGAAAAAAATTACAAAAAAGCATGTTTAGTATGACCCTGTTTTTGAAAAAAAGCATGCATATTCATATATGTATGTATGTATAACAAAAGTTTTTTCTGGAGTGGTAGAATTACTAGTGGCTTTTAAAAATCTGACTTTTTGCTTATTTATGCTAATTTTTGCTAAAATAAATATATATTTTATTTGTATAAATTTAAGAAGTAGAATGTAATTTTGAACTATGAGTGAATCCATCACCCAATAATGTACGTTGTACCCTACAATAAATGTTTTATGTAAAAAAGAAAAAAAAAAGAAAGGAATAAATTAGTTACTATGTATAAAGTCATTAATAAAAAGTATATGTGGACTTTAAAAAAAAGAAAAAGAAAAGTGAGAAGCTGAGAGTAAAGCAGAAGCAGCGGGGTAGCCAATGGTCTGGACCAACAAAAAAAGGCACAGGAGACACACAGTGGGTCTGGCTTTTAAATGGGAGCAGAAACAAGATGGCAGAGGAAGAGGAGGTGGAGTTCCAGTCATTGATACGTTAAGAGTCAGCTGGCAAAATTCAGATGGAAACGTTGAGGTGTGCTCCCTTGTAGCCACAGAACAGTAAGAGTGGGAGACATTCAAGCTATCCTTTGTTTTCTTGCTATTTGTTTAGAAAACTGGGATTGACATTGACTTTTTTTTTTTTTTGAGACAAGGTCTCACTCTGTTGCCCTGGCTGGAGTGTAGTGGCACAAACATAGCTCACTGCAGCCTCAGACTTCTGGGCTGAAGCAATCCTCCTGCCTCAGCCTCCCAAAGTGCTGGGATTACAGGCCTGAACCACTGCACCCAGCTGAGATTGGCATTCTAAGCTACTATGCACATTTGTGAGAGTTCCATGCCTCAGAGATCTACGTGTCAGAAAAACATTCCCATGTGAGACTCAATCTACATGAAACGATGCACTTAGAAGTTGTTGCAAGCCGGGCTCGGTGGCTCAGCCTGTAATCCCACACCTTTGGGAGGCTGAGGTGAGTGGATTGCCTGAGCCTGCGGGTTCGAGACCCACCTGGGCAGCGAGACCTCATCTCTACAATAAATCAAAAAATCAGCCGGGCATGGTAGCACATGCCTGTAAATCCGGCTACTCGGAAGGCTGAGGCGGAAGGATTGCCGGAGCCCAGCAGATCGAGGCTGCGGTGGCCGGAAGCGGCCACTGCACTCCAGTCTGGGTGACCGAGTGAGACTCCAACTCAAAAAAAAAAAAAAAAAAAAAAGAAGTTGTTGCATAGTAATCACTTAATACTGAGATATTTTCACTGGCAATAGAAAGTCAGTAGAAACATTACTTGGTCTGGTGAAGATGACTTTAAGCATAAGCACATTTCATAAGCAGAATAATTTTTATCTAAAAATTTGGAAAAGGAAGAGTTACACTAAGATTAAAGCTTTATAGTATAAAATGAAGACGGCTAGGATGCTCCAAGAATATCCCTAGGTCCAAGCACTGTAGATTACCTTAGTTTTCTTTAGCATAAAGTCAAAACTACCACAAGCTCACAGACAAGCATGAGTTGTAAACTATCTGAATAGAGCACAGAACATATTTGCTTTCCTCACATTTTCATTTTCTTTCCCCAAATGACCCTAGATCTTGTTCATTATCCATCCCTACCTCCATTTTTAAAAATCCTGAAGTACGGCATGTAGTGAAATCATACATGTAGGTTCAGATTTATGTATTAAGATGTATATGTTAATGTATTTCTATATGAATTTTTCTTCCAGGGAATAAATGAGAATGACATGTGGATTCAAAATTCACATAATTTATTTTAGTAGCATGCATGTTAAAATGAGCAGAGGAGACTGGGTTCAAGGTCTGCATACAAGTTAAATGCATATGTCTTTCATTTTTACAAAGGCATTTGAGGGAATGTATGTCTGCAAAGTGTGAATGAATTAAGTGGTGGGGCTATCGCACTAGACATTAACCCTCCTAAATTTAGGCAGGGAGGAGCTCAAGAAAGAGGCTCATCAGATAGGAAGAAGCAGTGATACAAGATGTTCTAGAGTCTTCTCCCCAAGACCTGCTTCTTCTTTGCGTGGCCTCTTTCAGTTCTCAGTGTCATCATCACTTTTGAATACAAGGAAAACTCCTCATTAAAAATCCAACTTATCACTAACAAAAATGAAAAGCCATTAATTTATTCCCAAAAATATACATGTGCATTCCCTTTCTTTTTCTTTTGGAGATGGGTTCTTATTATATTGCCCAAGTTGGTCTTGGACTCCTGGGCTTAATTGATCCTCCCAGAGTGCTGGGATTACAGGTGTGAGCCACCATGCCCAGGTGTGCATTTCTTTTTATTTATTTATTTATTTATTTATTTTTTATTTTTGAGTTGGAGTCTCAGTCTGTCACTCAGACTGGAGTGCAGTGGCCGCTCCCGGTCACCGCAGCCTCAACCTGCTGAGCTCCGGCGGTCCTTCCGTCTCAGCCTTCCAAGGAGCTGGAACTACAGGCGCGTGCTACCACGGCCAGCTAATTTTTGATTTATTGGAGAGATGAGGTCTTGTCAAGTTGCCCAGGCGGGTCTCAAACCCGTGGGCTCAGGCAATCCACTCACCTCGACCTCCCAAAGTGCTGGGATTACAGGCAGAGCCACCGAGCCTGGCCTGTGCATTTCTTTTTAAAAGGGAACCTTTAATGAGGACAGAAAATTTTAATTAGCATGAAAAATACAGTCATCAGAAACAATCTAATTTGAAGCAGAGTGCAATCCCTCCCTCAGGAGGCAGAGGCAGGGTGAATGTCTAAGTCCAGAAGTTTGAGACCAACCTGGAAAACATAATGAGACCCCATCTAAAAAAAAAAAAATCTAATCTAAAAATAGACGAATTCTTAAGAAATCTAAAAATGTAGCAAAGCGTTTGGAGAATCCCAAATCTCCTCAGGTTTGCGATGGATACACTTGGTTCTGGAGGCAGATGTGACTTGGGAATGCCTTTTCCTGGCTGGCATATTCTTTGCTTGTCACCTGTATTAAGTTAGACATATCAGACTGTCGTCTCCCACCCAAGGACAGAGTGCAATATAGGAGGCACAGAGCCTCGGATTTCCTGGTGGCCTCCAACTCAGTTTTGCTTTCAATCTGGTTAGCAAGAGTGACTGGAAAGAGGGTGGTACATAACCCACAAATGATTGACTGGCTCTAGTGGTGATCCCTGGTACTTTGAAACATTCTCCCACAACTCACTCAATTTACCCCATTCACCCCATGAAGAAGCAGTCTTACAAAACCTATCCATTCCAAAACGCGCGATGTGACAAACTCTCAGTCACACAATAATTAGCATGTAAATCTTGCCCATTAAACACAGAGGCTAGCACATGAAATTGAATGAAAGTTGAAGGCATTTGTGACTGAGTAAACAAAATATTCAGTCAACAAAATACTTATTTTTAAGGCCAATCTGTGTTTAGTTTCAACTGATCATTTTGAAGGAATGTGGCATAGTTGGATCTTATTAGTGTGATTTTTGGCTTTTTCACAATCCACAATTAAAACTATAATTCTCTAGGACAAAACTGCCAGAGTCATATTAACTTTTGTAGCAAAGGCATCTAAACTAAACTCTTTATTAATTCATCTGAATGTGAGATTTTAAGAGTGTTCCTGGAAAAATGCAAATCTATAGTAATTTGCTTAGATAATTTCTCTCTGGAATAAACATTAAGGTTGTTGGTATTAAATATTTGGTAACATTTAATTAATCAATACTACCAAAATGCAAATAATATATGAAAATAGCTGTCTAGCTAACAAGGTAGGTCTAAGTTTAATTATGTTTAGCTACTTGGGGTGCTGAAGCAGAAGGAATCACCTAAGCCCAGGAGGCTGAGGATGTCATGAGCCATGATTGTCGTGATCAAGCAACTGAACTCCAGCCTGGACGACAGAGTGGTACTTCAACTCATAAATAAATAAATAGATAGATAAATTTTAGATAGCTTCATTTGCAGTCTTCTATCAGTTATGTTAGCCCTAAGAAAAGGTATCATTAAATACGTCATCAGATAACAGGGTGGCAGAAAGGTGAAAAATACATCAAACTTTTAAAAATACTCATATTTAAAAGGAACACTTACTCTTCTGACTCCCTCTAAGAGGATATATCCTGAGTTTTTCAATAATATCAACCACGATCAAAGACGTCAGAACCAGAGAGACGGGGAGGTCAGGTAACTTATCCGGTAAGACATCAGTGGACCCATTAATGTTCTTTTGAACCTGTTTTGAGCAAACCATTTAGAGGTGTTACATTATTGCACTTTCTTTGTTCAAAATTCTTTCAGTAGTCCGAATGAAGTACTACATTGATTATAAGCACATTTACTAAAAAAAATAGAAGCTTGTCAGGTTCTAAACTCCACAAGGTTTTGAACTATTTCTAAAGATTCAATAAGGATTTACATCAATGGAGGTGCTTTCAATTAAAGACAGAGCTTTTTTAATACATGCAAAAATATAATAGTAGGCCCCTGTAACTGTGAGATGGGTAATTCGTTCCAACTAGACTGCTAAGCAGAGCTTTTGAGGGTCTAACCACAAAGAGATAGGAAGACAAATATTAACATGTAAAGTCTTCCAAGAAGGGAGATTCAGGTAATTTCACCTAGACTTTGGAACATTTCCTTCACCTGACTAAGGTAGCTACAAAAAAATCCTATAGCAAAAGCATCGTATTAATGGTGAAAAATAGAAAATTTTTCCTCTGAGATAAGCAAAAGACAAAGATGCCACCATGATCGTTTCTATTCAACATTGTCCTGGAGGTATTAGCTAGTCTAATAGGAAAGAGAAAGAAATAAAGCAACCCCCTTGGGTCCCCTCCTGCTCTGGAAGCTTTTCTGTCCTCTCAATAAATCCTGCTTTCAAAAAAGAGAAAGAGAGAGAGAGAATGAAAGAAATATTGGATAGAAAGAAATACAGGCTAGGTGCAGTAGCTCATGCTTGTAATCTCAGCACTTTGGGAGGCCAAGGCAGGATTGCTTGAGGCCAGGAGATCAAGACTAGCCTGGGCAACATAGTGAGTCCCTGTCTCTAAGAAAATAAAAATTAGCCAGGAATGGTGTTGTGGACCTGTAGTCCTAGCTACTTGAGAAGCTGAGGTGGGGAATAGCCTGAGCCCAAGAAGTTGGAGCTGTAGTGAGCTGTGAGCATACCACTACACTCCAGCCTGGGTGACAGAGCGAGAGCCTGTCTCAAAAAAAAAAAAAAAAAAAGGAAAGAAAAGAAAAAATAATAATTATGAATAGGCTATATAAACTTATATGAATGAAATCTACCCAAAATGAATAAATTATATCTAAATACCAAAGACAAAGAGTTAGAAAATAAGACTTTTTTTTTTTAAGGTGGAAGGATCGCCTGAGCCCAGCAGGTCGAGGCTGCTGTGGCCATGAGCATGCCACTGCACTCCAGTCTGGGCCACAGAGTGAGACTCCAACTCAAAAAAAAAGAAAAGAAAAGAAAAGAAAATGACAGGTTAATCCTAAAATTTATATGAAAAAAACCAAAGGACAAGAAACTCTGGAAGAAAAAGAACAAGGAAGAAAGATGTATTTTTCTGGATATTAGGAACTATTATAATACCAAAATTAAGACAGTGTGTATTAGCACAGGAATAGAAAACTTGGCAATGGGACAGGACAGAAAGCCCAGAATCAGATTACATACATGCACACTTGACTTATAACAAAGGAAGCACAGAAGAAAAATGTGGGAATGACAGACTTTTTAATAAATGGTCCTCAGTTCATTGGTTGCTATTTGAGGAAAACAACTTGAAACTTGAACTCCTACCGCACAACATATACAAAAATCAGTTTGTGACTATGATTCTAAAAGAAAATGAAGAAACAATAGAGTCTCCAAAATATAATTAGGGGAATAGGTTTGGGACTTTGAGGTGCAGATTCACAAAAATAACAAACTCCTCTAAAAAAAAAAGTAACCAGAAGCATTATCTATAAAGGAAAAAAATTATAAGCTGGACTACTTTTCAATTAAGAATTTCCTTGCATCAAAAGATACCATTAAAAGTATAATGGTAAAAAAAAAAGGGGGGGGTAAGTCATAGAGGGTGAAGATATTTGCAATACAAATAATCAAAAAGAACTTGTCATCAAACTATGGAAGTCACTCTTCCAAATCAACTTTTAAAAGATAAGAAACACAAACATAAAATGGACAAGATGAAAAGATGTTCAACCTCTTTAATTGTTGAAAAAAATGTAACTTAAAACTACAATGAGACTCAGGAAGATACCCACCAGAAGAGCCAAAATGAAAAGATCTATGATTTAAGCACTGGTGAGAATATGAAACAACAGGAAAGCTCATCTCTGTTCGTGAATTCTATAAAATTACTATAGAAATCAGTATAATCCCCTTGGAAAACTGTTTAGCATTATCTGTTACAATGTAACATTTGAATATCTCTTGATCCATCAATTCTATTTGGCCAACTGAAATGCTTGCACATGCACACCAAGGGACATACCCATGATATTCACAGCAGCATTAGTTGTAATAGCCAAAACTGGAAACAACTAAAAATGGCCATTCAGAATAGAATGGATAAATCAGTTGTGATCTTTTCATAAGATGAAATAGAGCACAGCAATGAAAAGGAAAGAACTACAGTTATACAAAAAGCATGAATGACCCTCACATTCATACTTCAAATAAAAGAAGACAGACATCATTCATTTCCCCTTGTAACAAGTTCAGAAACAAGCAGACAGTCTGTGGTATTTGATGTCAAGGTAGAAGTGACTTTGGCAAGGAAGGAAAGGCAGTCGTCGTTACAAGGGATAGGGAGAGAGCTGGCCAAGGTTTACTTCTTGACCTGAGTAGTGTTTACACAGGGGTTTGCTTTATGGTTACCGTACATTCATGTCTTGTGTACTTTTCTGTTTATGTGTTATACTCAGTGAAAATTAGAAAAGAAAAAAAAAAGGGAAAGAAAAATAAGCAACGGGAGTTGAGACATCATAAAAAGAACCAAAAAGGGCTATCAAACTCCAACTATACCACTTACAATAGTGTTGCTCCTTGAAAGACTGTAAACTGAATTTTTACAGTTCTTGCAAAATTCTGGAGTGATTTATGAGGTCTTTGTGGGGGGGGGGACTGACAAATCTAGATGGAAATATTCATCCGTTGCCATTTGTTCGATGCAAAGTACATCTGTGTGGTCTTCCGAAGTTATCCCATACATTCATACATTGTCCTAATGGAGCATCTAGGATGTATTCCAACAATCTTAATCTCTGATCTCATACACTACTTGGTCTCGCTCACAACATTTATGATTCTTGTTCTAATTGCTTGCTTATTTTTCTCTTTCCTGTCAGTAAATAATTACTGAAGACCAGAAACTCCGCCGTATTTCCTGACCTCTGTATCCCTAGTGCCTGGCGTGCAATATGCTCTTAATGACCATTTGCTCAACATATAAATTACTATCAAAAAGTAATTTAAGCTGTGTACTTTAGTGAAGTAAAAGTTATCTTTCATAGCCTTTCACAAATTAATAAGATTAGTAGAACATTCTTCTTTGACCTTGTTAAATAATAAAGTTCCCCCAGCCTAAAAGAGCTACCGATAATGTTCCTGCCCTGCAGACATCCATCTGAATCTTTCTGAAGTCATATTTAGTAAAAACAAAACTCAAAGTTATTTTTAAATAAATAGCATGTGCCAATTATTTGTCAGTGGATATCTCATCAAAGGTCTTAGAATGTAAGTGGTTGTTCCCTGAGATCCTGTTGTATTCATTTAGGACTGAGGACAATCATGAAAAACATAAGGTTGGTTGAAGAATGTAGATTGACTTTCAAATTCCTTACTTTTTGTTATTTAAAAATAACGTATCGGTCACTCACACACAAACACAAAGGTCATTTTTTAAAAACTGGCTTCTGGACCTTCTTCTATAATCACCGAGGTAACAATGATCTTAGAAGATCGGATTAAATAAACTTTAAGAAGTTTGTTGGGCATGCTGTTCTATTAGATTCCAAGAACAAGACATTTAATAATCTCAAAATCTTGCAGAGAAAGAAATCAGAATTCCATACCTCAGTCACAGCTATAGAAAAGGTGAAGCTGGGGAGTGTGGTCAGCACGACGCACATCATCATAACAGGTCTCCTAGCAAAGGAGAAAAAATAAGCCAAAGCAATCACGTTCAAGATCAACAGTTCCTCTTACATTTTGCTAATTTGGCAGTTCCTGTTCCATTCATCTATAGTTTTTCTAAGAAGTTACTGCTTCCCTATTTCCATTTCCCAAATGTTTGAGTATGGCAAAGAGGAACACGCGCAGAAACCAGAACGCTTTTCTAGAACAGAGGAGTGAGAGATTTCCAAAGAATCCAAATAATCAGCAAACCATAGGTTACTAAAAGTGTTGAAGAGAAAGTCAAATGACATTTGACATTTGAATAATTCATTAATTAGCATCCCACCCAAAAGGTCAGGCTTTGTGACCAACTGAAAAATGGATCAGCATGACTTTCAAGTTATATTACAACCTATGTTGTAAAGTTGATTTTTCAAAAAACACATTAAGAGATAGCCAACTATTAGATATTTACAGATTCCTTGAAGTGAAAACATTTGCTTTTTTCTTTTACTTGAACCAGAAAAAAAATCATATATACAGAAAAATAACATAATTTTTCAGCCAGGCTCGGTGGCTCAGCCTGTAATCCCGCGCCTTTGGGAGGCTGAGGTGAGTGGATTGCCTGAGCCCGTGGGTTCGAGACTCGCCTGGGCAGCGAGACCTCATCTCTACAATAAATCAAAAAATCAGCCGGGCGTGGTAGCGCACGCCTGTAATTCCGGCTACTCAGAAGGCTGAGGCGGAAGGATCGCCGGAGCCCAGCAGGCCGAGGCTGCGCTGGCCGGGAGCGGCCACTGCACTCCAGTCTGGACGCCAGAGTGAGACTCCAACTCAAAAAAAAATCAAAACAAAACATAACTTTTCAAACTTGTTTTTGGACCACTTCTTACATCTTGCATAGTTTATCAAATAGTTATTGAGATATATTATGTCTAGAATACTTACCTTAAGACAGAAAAAGTGTAAATGCACATTTAGCATCATTAATTTATGGGAAGACAAACGATACTCAAAGTTTTCTGTAATGAAATATTTACCACCTCTTTCCTTGGTTGATTTATATTTTCTTAATTCTATTTATATGATAATGTGTTTCTAAATGCAGGCAGTGTCAAATGTTTTCAAATTATCAACAATTTCTCTTTGATCCTGTCTTGTCTTCCTCATTCCAGATCTCTCTTAGATGTTGTAGTCATAAACATAAATTAGAAGGTGAGATTACCCCTCTCTCACAGCCAGACGCAGCATCTGACCTATCCAAAACCAATTATAGTGGGATTTTATACTGGTAGCTTTGCTTCTTCGTCTGAGCCTAGATCCAAGTTCCTGCAGCACTAGGCTTTCTAAGTAAGATTAGCTAAATCATTCATAAAGTCCTCTTCTTCTCAACTTGACCTCTAAAAGATGAGAGTACCCAGGGGTAATTTCTGGGTCTTTTCTTTTTCTTTTTTTTTTTTTGAGTTGGCGTCTCATTCTGTCACCCAGACTGGAGTCCAGTGGCCGCTCCCAGTCACCGCAGCCTCGACCCGGTTGGGCTCCGGCGATCCTTCCACCTCAGCCTTCCAACTTTTCTTTACCTATATTATTTTCCTGGATTACCTCATCTAGGGTCATGACTTTAAATAAAAGCCATTTGCCCATGACTCCCAAATATATGCTAGTCTTTTTGCTTAGCTCTGAGCTTTTACAAAACGATTTGACATCTCTTGTATGTCAAAGAGGCGACTCTGTAGGGTATGGTGGCTCATGCCTATCATCTCAGCATGCTGGCAGGCCAAGGAGGGAGGATCACTTGAAGCCAGGAGTTTTAAACCAGCCTGGGCAACATAGTGAGATCCCATATCTATAAAAAAAATTTTTAAACTTAGCTGGGTACAGTGACACGCACCTGTAGTCCTAGCTACTCACAGGGCTATGACAGGAGGATTGCCTGTGCCTGGGAGGTCGAGGTTGTGGTGAGCTGTGTTCATGTCACTGCACTCTGACCTGGGCAACAGAGTGAGACTCTAAACAAATAAAAGGGCAACTCCTTTTGCATACCTGTTCCAATCTGTCATCCAATCCTGTCTGATTCACTGTCAAAATCCATTTCAAACCCGTTTTCTGCTAACAAACACCATAGTTTATGCACCTTCATCTGCAATATTTCCTAACTGGTTTTCTGGTTTTTTTTGTTTTGGTTTTTTTTTTGAGTTGGAGTCTCACTCTGTCGCCCAGACTGGAGTGCAGTGGCCGCTCCCGGCCACCGCAGCCTCGACCTGTTGGGTCCGGCGATCCTTCCGCCTCGGCCTTCCGAGTAGCCGGAATTACAGG